TAGTTGATCAATTAGCAAAGGGCAAACACTAACAGGCATGGAGCAACACGCAAACTGGTAAAATGTATATGCTTAAAGCTCGTGAAATTTAACGACTATCTATTAGAAAGTGAAAATTTATAAGTTATGTTAAGAAGTAAGAAACATATGGCTGAAATAAAAAAAAATATTTGTAATTTTTGATGTAAAATCAATGCATACAAATGTCATTGGGTCAGAGACACTCATAGCCCGCTAAAATGAAATATACAAAGAGAAAAGGAGCCGCATGCAGAGATAATCCTCATTTATCAGTCTCATCCTAACTACAGAATGTATATAGGAATAATGAGGAGCAAGAACCATAAGAGTAATGGAAAGTGAGTGCATAAGGGAATATTTCTTAATAAAGAATAGCCCAAGAGATAAAATAAAGAAGTATACATGATGTAAAAAGAAGATAGTAAGATGGGGAATAAAAACAGAAAATAAGGATGGAGAAAGATGCACAAAGTAGATATGCCTATCCCTGAGGGAATTCGAAAGCAATAAAGGTCATTAATAAAATGGTCATGAATGAAAGTAAAGCGCCCTTCAAAAGTTTAAGCATGCAATACGCGAAGATGAATAAATAGGATTAGTCTAGAATTTTCTTTCGAAACTAAAGGTCCAGTTAAGTGGAATAGATTAGTTTACGGACCAAAGGGTTAAGTCGGATTAACATTAATAACCTAAAAATAGGAAAAGCACTTGAGAGGTGTGATTACGTCTAACTAGACCTGACCAAAAGGGCCGACTTCAGGACTATCCCACATAAAACAGACCAAAGTTGTGGTAAAGAGGGATGAGATATGATGATATGGGCTAGATAGATATAGAGAATAAGAAAACATATACTAGAATCGTTTGATAAAAAGATGCCAACTAGACGTCTAAGAATGTTCTAGGTTTATGGTTCAAGTATGGCAAATGAGTCTGAATAAAGTGCATTCGTTAGAATTATCGTATCTAAAATGGGACTTCTATGCTGTGAGTACAGAGAAAATTGGCTTCAATACATATTGTATTGCTAAAAATATCTCTTGGTAGAGATTTGGAGCCGCATCTGAGACCGATTGACAAGCTGCAAGACAAAGGGATGCAGTCTAGAGGCTGTGTATATCCTAAAGATAAATATATCTATGTAGTAATGAAATATGTAGAAATTGTATAAGCACAGGTAATGTATGGACGAGTGGAGAGGGTGGTAAGAATCGGGAAGCAGAAACGGTATGTTGTGAAGTGTAGCCAAGCAGAAGAAACACCAAGATTAAATAATATGTAGAGGCGCTATGAGAAGAGGCGGCGTCGAGTCGGGTAAAATTTCTTGCCTACAGCGTTGCAAATAGAGTCCCCCAAATAAAGGCTTAATGACACAGTAGTTTGGGTTTCGATGTGAGTTAGTGTATTACCTTTTACGCATAGGTCCAATAGACAATGCTATAATGATTAAAAATGAGAGGCACCAATAAAAGTCGCAAGAAATGGTGCAAGGATAATCGCGCAATAATCTTTATCCAGGGAAAGATTTATGGCACAAACTGGCTCAGTTTTGCGCTATGACGCTGTTACTGAAGGCCTCTGATTCTCGGAGAGTCGAGTTAGAACGTTCCTCGGGTAATCTAAATACACAAGTGCTTGGAGAAGTTGCACTAAGGTTCATACTACTTAATTTGTGATATGCAAAAGTCAGCTTCCGCCTTGTGTCGGAGGATTGGCTTGGCTTTATGAGGTGGCGGGGTTTGGTGGATCCGATGACCAGCTCAGATCCGAATGGGGAGGATGAAGTGGATTGACAGACATTGCGAATGGAGAATGAGATGCATACGGATCGTGAGTCGTTTAAGTGTAAGGAAAACGCTAGTGGAGGGAATGTCACATGAAATTGTGCATTCAGTCACGTCTCAAGGTCAGATGACGGTAGGTGTAACAACTAAGGGTTCAAGTGGAAGAAAATATTCTGGGTTGAGTAACGGGGGTAAATCGATGCGAAGAGTGAGAGAAAGATAGGTGAGGTCACTAAAAAATGAATTGTAAGTTTTTTGCCAGCTTAAATAATGAAATAGTTTATATGATAGTTATGATAGCAGCTGAAATCAACATCTAGAAACAGAAGCTCTTTTTATATTAAAAATAAGGCTGATCAACATCATCAATCAGGTGATAATTTTAATTAATATGGAGGCCAGCACTTCAAAAATATAGTGGATGGGTAATGGAATATGGTTTAACTAGATGCGCTTGTTAGGCTTAAAAATGTATGAAATTATAAAAGTTAACGGAGAAGAGCAAATATCTTAGGATAAAAGTAAATTAAATTCGTTGAAACCATGCGCTCTTAAAGTTGTGACTATTGCATAGTTTCATAAAGCATAAGTCGTTGTGTCAAAGCTCACTCTGCTAGTCGCGACCAGACCCCACCGGAATTACTCTTCCTCGTTACACCATCGTCTTCTTCTAGGTTTCCCTTACCAGAATGAATTGTATCTACGTAATCCTCTGAATCCGGGTCTTGCAACAGGCTGTCATGCTCGCGATTCGGCCGCTTTTCTACATGTACTTGAATAATCTTGGAGCGAAAACTGTCGATTACGCTAACAACCAGAGGCTCTCCATCAAATGATTCCATGCCGAATGCATCAGCTGAAGTGACCTGGTTGTCCGTGAACTCATGGCTGACCAAAGTTTCAAGAAAAAATACAAGGAAATAGAATAAATATAAGTAAAACAAAGAAAGAAGGCGAGTCACTTAGCCTAAAACAATAATAAATAATGAAATCTCAAAACAATATGGATTTGGAAGTTAATGTAGGAATGAAAGCAAAAAACAGTCAACGTCCCCAAATATAGGTTTCACTATCATAAATAAATGGCGAATAAAATCGCGAACTAATTCGACAGTTTTCAATTAATGTACGTTGTTATAGATTAGCAATATAGCATGATAGTAGACCCTAGCTTAAAGCTCACTTGGGAGTTGATCTAGCGATCTTACTTAAACTCGATAAGATTTCGTATTTCGAAAGTGAGATCGAAGATATATGGAATATGGGTCAATAGAACAAACGCCTTATTATGAATAATATAAAAATATAAGCGTTTCGTAATCCGAGCAAAGAGTTTAATAAACGTGAAGAAAGAGAACGATTTATAACATTTTTCGACAGTTTTAAATTCATTTATAATTTCAATTCTTTTACATTCAAGTGAAATAAGCTTCTAGAAGGCTTAGGGCAAATTAGTGAAGAGCTAATTATAGACTATATGAGATGTAATTGTAATCTCGAAAACCTGTTTAAAAAACCCAAAAAATTTTAATCGTTTGACTAAACGAGATTTTCATAAATTCCAAATATTTGGCACAAATGTGTTAAGTAAATAATATTAATCAAAAATTGTGTCAGGGAAGGCACGATAGGAGGATAAAGGAAATTTGAATTGCTCAGGGCAGAATTAAAGATACCACAACTGTTTAGCAAACGTTTGGTCAAAGGATGGACTTCACTTTTCTCTTTGACGAGTTGTAATATGGTGCTACGAATAGCGAGACTCACTGACGATGCCGACTACGATTCCGGCGAGACGTCTGGGAATGTACCACGTTCATAGGGCTACTCTGGAAATGATGATGCATACAATGGACTCCGGACTAGGTGCGTCCCTCTAAGTCTTCCTACCAATATGACCAAGTTGCGAAAACAAGATCAAACAACTTCTATACAAAGAAAGGAGACTGCGAGCAGACAAAAGGCCACACCATCTTGGTCTTAATATTATTTAAGGTTTATATTAATTAAGGTTTTTCACTTATCTTTCAATGAATTTGGTATATTAAATATTTTAGAGCATTAGGTTCAAAAGAAAAAGTAGTGTAATCGAAGGTATGAAGATCAAGATTGTGTGGCCTTTTGTGTGGGCTCAGTTTTCTTTCGTTGTATAGAAGTTGTTTGACCTTGTTTTTGCAACCTGGTCATATTGGTAGGAAGACTTAGAGGAACGCACCTTGTCTGGAGTCCATTGTATGCATCATCATTTCCAGAGTAGGACTGCGGACGTGGTATATCCCCAGACTTTTTGCCAGCATCGTAGTCGGCATCATCAGAGAGTCTCAACATTCGTAGCACCATATTACAACTCGTCAGAGACAAGTAAAGCCCATCCTTTGACGAAACGTGAGCTAAACAGTTAGAGTATCTCCCCTTCTGCCCTGGGCTATTCAAATTTCCTATATCTTCCTATCACGCTTTCCCTTTTTTAATTTTTCGATGTAGTGTGGTGTGCTCCTTTGAGCGGCTTTCAT